CTCTATTATAAAATTTAAAATTTAAAAAATAGTGTAGATCGAGTAGATCTATGAACACCTGAGAATCTTAAAAATTGACGGTCTAGATATTACATTACAATATCCACTCTTTCTAAGACTTAAAGTCTATTTTTTCTCCTGTCCATACATCTTGAGGTTGAGATGATCGAATTGAGGGTTTTTTAGAATCGAAGCAGCTTCTTCTAGTGAATTTTTGAGGTGCGCCTTAATTTAATTATTTACGGCTTAACCCTTATATAAACTTTTCCCAAACATAGTAATCGTGGAAGAGTTTTTTTTGAGTCAGACTACTCGCCTTGGTTTTTGAGGGATTATGGATGAAAATACATCTCAAACTACTCGAAATCCATTTCTGCCTCACCCCCATGAATGGACCCTATGTCTTGAGCTGAAAGTATAGTGCATATGTAATGTTCTTTAAAGAATGGATACGGTTTTGGTGAGTTAGCCAACTCACCTATTATTGTGCAGTTCCTTGTCTAGGTATCGTCCATCTATAAGATGGATCTAAAAAAATGTTAAATCCACTAAAAATTAAAATGGACGGTGAAGAAAGAATTCAAAAAATAACATTTCTATTTTTTGAAAAAAGAAAAATTCTAAACACAGATTATGGTCATCGTTGAGATTATTGAACTCTAAAATTTTGGATAAAAAATGCATATTTGAGATATATTATGTAGGGAGACGGTATAAGAATAATATGAGAGCCGACTCACCAAATACTTTTCCTTAAAGAACTAAAATGGATGGTCCAATATAGGTACAAATTAAACTTTTCTAAGGCTCTAAAGTATACTCTATTGTTTTAGATTCATGATCGTGGTGGCCTAAATCATTTGTTTTGAGTGGTAAGTAATCTACTCTATAGACGTGCAAAATTTTGGGTGGCTGAGCTCATTGTAATAGGTGCGGCCTTGAACACAACTAAACCCTTTATGATGCTTGATGGTGATGCATTTGCACACAAAGGTGCTTTATGAAACAAACATGCACACCCAAATCGTGGTCACTCCAACCCACTTGGCTAGCCAGCCTAGCCAACTCAGCCAATATTAAGAAAATTAGAAAATGCCAAAAAATATAACACAATGTAAAGTCAAGTATTCAAAATAAAAAGAATGTTTTTCATATTATAGGAGGTATAAATCCAAATCAAGATAAAAAATTTAAACCAAAATAACATTCGAGAAATAGAATGGCACAAAAATGACTAAAAACTAATTAAAAATCAATTGTTGAGTTTTGATTAAAAAAAAAAAAGTGTTAGGGCTTTTGTAGATTAATGTTATAGGCACAGTTTGAGACGAAATGAATTTGGTAAACAATGAGGGAGAAATCGGAAAGTTTCGATTTTCAGTTTAAAAAAAACCAAAATTTAGGTTCAATTTCTTATGTTTTCCATTTTCGTCCAACATATTGATGTGGAAGTTCGATAAAGAGCACTAAGACAAACAAATTGCAATAAATTTCAAAGCATTTAGATGAGAATTGAGAGAGAACTTCAAAGAATGGTGAATTTGGATAATGATGAAGTTTTGTCAAAATAAATAATGCCCAAAGCCATAATTTAACCAATAATCTTCTGATTAGGGTAAATACAATTAATTGATCTTTGATCGATAATCGAAGAAAAAATGTCCAAGAAATAGGCTAAAAAGGAAGACGATAAAGTAGTTTGGGAGGAAGAAAGTGATGGGATTTAATTTGTTAAATCTACTTGCAGATTAGTTTTCTGGTCTAAGAGGAATCTTAGTAAGATTTGGAAATAGCATGTTCCTCATAAGATTAAAATTTCCATTTGGATCCTATTGCAAGGAAGAACTCTTGCGGTGGATAATCTTAAGGAACGAGGTAAAATTCCGGTTAACATCTGTTTGTCATGCAAGAAGGATGAAGGGAATAGAACTGCATTGCTTTGGGAAGTTTGGGTAGAGCGCAATAGAACTTTTAAAGGAACAGCTACGAGAGAGGATTTCACACACTGTGAACTTTTAAAGGAACAGCTACGAGAGAGGATTTCACACACTGTATGGTCGTGGTTCTCAGTTACCAAGGAGGGGGATGGTGTATCAAAGGTAAATGTTGTGCTCAACTTAGCAACTATCATGCGGCAATCTTCAAGATCTGCTAGACATGCGGGAAGATGGATTCCACCAGTAAGTGGTTGCGTGCAGATTAATTTTGATGGAAGTCTGAGGTATTATTACAAATTCAGAGGGTGATGTTCTTTGTTGCTATTGGGGGCCTTGTACATTTACAGCAAATATGCCTGATCTGCGTACTTTGCTCTTCGGCCTCAAAGTGGTGAAAGATAGATATCCAGGTTTGTGGTGCGCAGTGGAAAATGACTCCCCAGAAAAACCATCGTCCTACTTTTGATATAAGAAAAACAGTGATCCCCATTACTTTCTCTCTGACTAATTAGTTTCCCTCTGCAAATCACATACTGGATTTGCCATTTTGAGCCCCCATTGCTCCCTCCAAGAAATGGAGAGATTCATAGATGGTGGAATTTCATTTACAGATGGACCCATTCTCTCTTTCACTATACCAAAAGGATAGCTCCAAGCCAGCAATGCGGGCTCACCAGTCAAGTTGGTGGTTCAGGATCTTAGAAATTTTTTAAAAACGTTATAAATTATCCAAAAAAAATTTATTTGTAGTATATTTTTTATGTTTTCTATCATTTTGACAATGTGTTTTGGCCATGAATACTTAATCTTGCATTTTTCCTTCTTTTTAGATTATTTCTAAGGAAAAAGTTTATATAAGTACGAGACTCCAAATAATTAAATTAGGACGCACCTAAAAACTTTCCTTAGAAGAGGTTGTTTAGATGCCCAAATATCTTCAAATTGATCATCTCGATCTCAAGATGTATGGACATGAAAAACAATGGATTTCAAGTTTTGAAAATAGTGCATCTGTATTTTTGGACCATTAATTTTTAAGACTTTCAAATTTTTATATATTTGCTCAATCTACACTCTTTTGTAAGCTTTAAACTTTATAATTAGAAATGAAAACATATTTTAAGGCTATCAAAAAAAAATTTCACTATTGAAACCATGTTTCTTGACACTACGGGCTGAGTCATATGGCCAAGTTGTGGTTTCCCACGGCATCATGACTAAGATTCCAGCATAAATCTCACTTATCTTCCTTCTTGCACATTCATCTGATGGCTTATGTCATCTTGAGTTTTGGGTAAGTGCTTATGTTATCTTGATTGGAACAGGCATAAAGCACTCTATAACAAGTTTCCAATTGCAAGGACCATAAACCAGCAGATATAATGAGATAATTCCTCACTTATACCAAATATCGCTCTCTCTCTCTCTCTCTCTCTCTCTCTCATTTATTCTTAGGGCTGCCAGGGTCGGGTTTTGTCTGGCTCAAGGCCCAGAAAAAGCTCGAAAACTATTTGGCCCTGCCTGGTAGGGCCCTGTCGAAAAATACAACTGGAGAAACCGGCCAGGCCCGAATGTATATTATAAATGCTCGGCCCAATTAGAGTACTTCAACTTCTTTTTTATAAGCTCTGTTCAAACTTTTTTTGTTTGAAGCAAGCCAAAAAAAAAAAAAAAAGTTTAATATTTTTTAGAAATTTAAAACCTTTCAAAAGCATTGAGAAATAAAAAATATTGGAAAGAGGGGTGAGTAGACGCGGCCACTCACCTACCCCCTCCACCCCCCTATCTCTCTCTAAAAGCCCACGTGCTCTCTCTCTACATAGTAATAAAAGTTGTTCTCTTCATCTCCATTTCGACAAAAATTAGGCTTCAAGCTTCACTTAGCCCATCTCTACAACTCGTTCTAATTCTCTTAAATCCTCCTAATATTAAGATCACAAAACCAGAGGCCAGGTACCATCAATTTACAATCCCTTTCCTTCTTTTTCGTATCGCAAGAGGAAAGTCATTGGCCCCATTTCTTCTTCAATGCCACTAGTTTCAAGGAGAATGGCATCCGGGTTTATATCAAAACCTCCCCAAAAGCTTGCTTTAATGGATTTCAGGTCTCTTTCTTTGAAACCCAGAATTGGGTCTTTCTCATTTGGCAATTTAGGGTCTTCTGGTAAGGTGAACGTTGAGTTTTCTAGGTTTTTTGATAAGCCATTGGTTCGAGCTTTTCTCGGTATCGAGAGGCCCTGGGCCTTCAATTAAAGCTTGGTGGAGTGAAGGCCTCTTCTAATGGAAGTCTTAGGGTTAAAAGATTCAACTAAAGAGCAAAATTTGCCTCTTATCTTCTCCAGAAGAAGAGAGATTCGAAGAAGAGAGAAAAAGAAAAAGGGATCAATTTAAAAAGATAAACTCAGGTTACAAAATATTTCAATGGAGGTAGCAGATGCTATGAACCACGAATCGACAACCTCATAACCTCCACTAAGGCTCTCTGTTGAAAAGCGCAAAGTCTATTCAAGAAGGATTGGGTCGAGCAGTAATCTGGTCTGATTTGAGAGAGAGAGAGAGAGAGAGAGAGATATGGGGGGAGGGCCGTGCCAGGGAAGACGGGCCAAGACTGAGTTCGGGCTGGCCCATTAAGAGCCGCCGGACAGATAAAAGGCTGGCTTTATTTAGCCCCAGCCCAGCCTAACTTCACTTGGTCCGAAGTAGGCCCAAAATGAGCCAATTGTGTGGCCCGTCCCGGACCATTGGCAGCCTTACTCACTTTCTCTCTAGTCTCTAGGGCCACCTGATCTAGCAACTCAACAACAAGAGATAATCAGAACAAGGCAATAACAAGGTAGGAGAGGATGGCCATCTATAAACTGAAGCCTAAACTAGGAAAAGCTATTCATAACATTACAAAGTCATTCCAGTGAACTCTCGAGGTCCTGCAAATTGACCTCAGTGCTCTCTAGAGGTCCTGCAAATCGACCTAAGATGGCCTCTAGACCATTCACAAGATAAAAAAAAACCCCAACCCCCAGATTTCATGAATCCAATTAATAACAACTGTTAAAAACAACAATGAAACACATAAGTAGTCTCCCCAGTCAAAAGATTTCATTGCATGTCATTTTTTCATCCTTTGCTTTCAAAGGAAAGGACCAAAAGCGAGAGTAAATTTCAGCACGACCCCCACATCCAACCCAAACTCCTCAAAAAGGAAAAAAAATGAAACAAAAAAGGAATAAAAAAAGGAGAAGAGAAAGCCCCACCCCCACAGAAAAAGACCTTAAAAAAAGGAAGAGAGGGAAAGAAAACCTGGGGCCAATACCCAAAACTCAGAGAGAGAGAGAGGAGATGCTAGCTTTGTGGAACAGTCACATTGAGGCGACCATATCGCTCCATCACTCTCCTCATTGCAAGTGCAGCTGCCTCACTCGCTCTCAAGTTCCCACTTGCCATGAGAGCTGCAAATTCTCTATTAATCTCTTCTTGCACCCGGCTCCTCGCATCCCCTAATGGGTCTTTCACATTTTCATTGTCTTCGTCCTTTACTTCTGCTGCCTTTGGTCTAATATTCTCTTTCTCAACTCCCTTGCTTGATTCTGGCGATTTCTCAGAACCACCACTTGAATTCGATGCTGGCTCTTTCGTGGATGTTTGTTCTTTTGTGGGTGCTTGTGCAGTTGGTTGTTGCCTCTCATTGGTTTGGCTCGATGGTGGGGCCAGTGATTGGGAAGGCTGGAATCGGGGAGGTTGGGGAACACCCCCTACTCTGAGAGTGGACTCTAATTGTTGGATCATAGGCACTGCATCAACAGAGTGATTCACTTGAGATTTCTCTACATGATAACGATAAAGAATATTGCAAGATCTCAGAAGTAGCATGAGTTCAATGGTAACATTTGTCTCAGTCCATAGAAAGAATAAATTGTTCCTCACATATTGAGGAACATATTACTTTTCTATATGTAGCACAGTTATCTAAAAGAATAAATCATTAAAGATCACAAACTGAAACTTTTCCCAGTCATTTTTTTAATAACACAAACATAGAAAAGAAGAAATGACAAATGATCAAAGCTATAAAAATGCTTATAAATTGGGCGACCAATTCATTTTTTTTACACAAATAGAATTCATAGGAGGATCAAAATCAAGTGAACACTTACGTATCAAGGCACCCATAGGGCTGTTCAAAACTTCATTAGGCAGCTGAAGAATGTATTCTGGGATGGTGTTTCCAACTAAGAACTGAGCAACCTCATTGCTGAAGTTGTTGCAGTTATGAGTGAGCAAGCTGTAGGTTTCAGCAGTGTATCGTGGGCTTATCTCTTGCAAGTATTCCTCGAAAAGCTCTCTGGGAACATGGGTAACCCCCAAATCGAAAACCCTCACTGGAGTCCCATATGGTGTGGTTCCAGCTGGTGAGTGTTGGATACCGCCGCCAAAATAGTGCTCATTCCCATACACAACCACCCCTGTATGCCTGTTCATTTATGATACATTAGAGAGAGAAGAACATAACCTCCTAAGGTACAAACTGAGAGTAGATAGATAGATAGATAGATCAACATAGACAGAGGGAGAAAGGGTAATGTAGAAAATATTGATGGGGTCACAATGCAGCGAACACTTTCTTCGTGCAGTATGTATTTAACTGGGGGATTTAGATAACCGACCACTTTGGAAGTCCCAGAAAAACTTTAAAATGGTGAAAATTTTATAAATTTGATTTTTACAGTTTATAAATTAGAGAATTCACCTTAAATTTTCTGGTATAATGCTTCATTTTCATACCATGTGATTTAAAAATCAACAGGCAACAGCAGACACAGATAAACTTAATATACATTGATTGACCAAACACATACCAAATGCCTTCGATAGCTTTCCCCAGGAAGGTCGTTGAAAGCTGGCGAGCAAGCCCCTGGCTTAAATCATACACATTCAAGGAAACTTTGTGCCCATCCTGTAATAAGTACCAAATCACAGTCAAATATCCAAGGACATAACAAAGGACAGTCAAAAACAATAGAACTGATTCATATTTTAATGGCTTAAAAGATGATGCAGATGAGTGATAGTCAACTAGAATACACACCTCTGCCATTCTTTCTGGACTTAATCTGAAACCAACAACCCGTGCAGTTATCCCAACTTTTTACTTGGGTAGTTCTCCAAAGGTAAATCAAGAGACCCTTTGTTTATGAGTAAGAAGACAACCTAGAACAACAGTTCCAACGGAAATTAGAAGTAAAGCAAATGACAATGCCTCTGAAAGTATTTGAAGACAGTAACATTGAACAGAGACGTGTTTTAGTGATAATCATTTTAAAGGTTTCATTGGCCAGCATTTTAAGCCTAAACGGTATAATGAAATTTCATCCGCCTAAGCTCCTATGACCCGATATTCAGCACATATATCTTTAACTAAAGGCTGCACTTATTTTACACATTCTACATAATGTACTTCAGTTTTCATTGCATTAATTTTCGGAAGGAAGTTGATATACAAAGTAACTAAACATTCAAAGCAGGGGATGAGATAAAAAGTGAAGCATCCACAAGAATATGACCATTTTAATCAGTTATCCAAGGTTATTAAGAAATAAAACTCACCCAAATCTAATTCAATTTCACACCTAACGGATTGTATATCATCATCACTTTTAAATTTGCCACTGTCAGTTAAATTGTCAGTTAAATTTGAAGAATGTAATCCAAGTTGTTAAAATGAAGGGACATTTATAAAATTACTCATGAAAGATGAACAATTTAACACCTTACCCATATTTTTTATTTAATTTCAAAATACCCAAAAAAAAAAACACATGATCTCAAGTTGAGATAGTTCCGAATGAATATAATGTTAAATAGTTCATCTCTTGCGTATATTTTGAAATTTTCCCTTAGATCGATGACCCACAAAAAGAAATACTGGGTTTGTATTAGCACCAATATTGCATAATATTAACAGATTCAGTGGAATATCAGGTCACAAGCTTCATAATGGTCCATCATAAACTTCTAAGATCACAGGGCAGCAAGCTGTGATATTTTTTGTAGTGCTTCAACAAGAAACCAACAATAAATTCGAATTTTGTTGGAACTTCCACAACAGAATGAGCAAATTACATATGCTTTCCTTCACACTAAGATAAAGTCCAACTTTTTATTTGATCACATTCATTGTTTGAAGATCCAGGCCGAAACTCAGTGAAGAGTATATCAAAATATGAAAAAATAATTATGAAAAAAAAGAAAATTGTCCACAGAAAAGCACTCAATCGGCCCAAACATTTACAATAAAAGAAAAAGTGGAAAACGGAAATCGAGCCTTAACCAAAATCATGTGAGAAACAAGAAATAGACACGATGATAACCCAGCTAGAGAAAAAAACAAAACAAAATCGAGTCCACAATTTAGTAGAAGTTCCTCATCAAAAATAAGAAATACATCATTGAGATAGAAAACTTATCTTTTTTCTTCCATTGAATTCTTGCATCAGTGCCATTAATAAATAAAATAAACGCTATTGAAATAACCTTCATATAGATCCCACAAGAAACGCATAATTATAGAATGCCAATCTTCCCAAAATTATCATTGCACATGCCATTAACCACAAATAAACACTTAATTCCCAAAAATCACAGAAAAAAAACCCTAGATCAACAAACAATTACCTTGCGCAATTACCAAATAATAATGTTTCCCAAATAACCCACCCCATACGATTATTCCACAAAAAAACAAATATTCCAGCAAGAAATCAAGAAAAAAGCCAAAAGATCTTAGATTAAGAAACAATTATAAGGAAAAGAAGGAAGAAAACTGGAATAAAGATAATTTTAGGGCATACCTTAACAGGGCTCAATGGCGCGGACCTTTCGGTTTCTAAATTAGGGGTGACAAAGAAATCGGGGGCCCCTTTTATACCCCCTTTTGCCAGTTATAAACGAGTAGAATCTCTTTTCGTGGACTCTCTAGAAGGTCCTAGCGACTAAGGATTTGACACGTGGCCGAAAAGGCCGTGGGAAGACCGAGCCCGTTAAAAACGTGTCCTTGTTTACCAAATTGCCCCTCAGTTTCCGTTGGGTTGGAATTGTGCATCACGCTTTGGGTTTAAAAAAGGAAAATGTTTTTGATAGGGCTGCAGCCCTTTCAAAATAGTAAAAGCCTCACCTCATATCTCATCCAAATTTGCAATTCAAGGGTTTAAAATCTTTTAAGTTCATCATCTCAGCTTGAACATTATGGTTTTGTAAAAAAATTTAGTATTTTAAATTTTAGAATAGTGTATATTGCAACAAATCATCTAGACCATCCATTTTATCTTAAAAATCAATATTCACGTATCTGGAAGATCTGTATCATTTTTTTAGTTTCAAATTTTATTGTCCGTATTAAAAATTAATTTTAAATCCATCATGAAGACTTTTTATGCTTAAAGTACTTTCTGAAAGAGGATTTGAGATGAAGCTTTATTTTCTTTTCATAAAGCCTAGTCCCTATAGAAGTTTCATCCTTTAAAAAACACGATACCTGTTATGGGAGGCGTGGAAAGAGAAAAAAAAATAAAAAATAAAAAATAAAAAGAAGAGAATAATCATATGTATTTGGATAAACTGAAAATCTAAATATATAGTGAGTTGAAGCGCTCTTTCATGTTGATAAATATTGTAATTACGTAAATTCTTTCTGATTTACGTATATCACGCGCCTATCTTTTTTGGTGTCTGTTTTTCCTTTTTTTTTGTTTTTTTCAAGTTTGCCTTGATATCAAAAATCTAGTCACAAAGCGAGCGAGTTGATGACTTGGGATTTTTTCTATTCATAGCCATCTTTGAATTTGAATTTTGAGCGAGTTGATGACTTCGGATTTATATTATTCATAGCCATTTTTGGATTTGAATTTTTCAAAGGTTGCAATATATAATGATAAAGTATATAATGTGACCAATTGCTTTGTTTACAAGGTGGTCATAATTAATCTTGATCAGGATGTGAATTTAGATGGTTGCATTTGTTTCATTGATCAAGTTCAAAGTTCAAAATAATTTTTTTCGAATTTTGTGACATATCCAAACTATCACATTTCACATCGGATGGTTGAAAGTAATTGTGACATCTCCATTCCAAAGGTAAATGGTCTCTATGTATATGTATATATCATTTAAACTAATTATTATTTTGACCAGGAATTGGCTCGGTGTATGGCGATTTTCGATCTAGATTTGTTATTTTCAGTCCAGATTATTTGATGAATCGGTTTTGAATGTTGTGCGTCGAAGCTCTAAACTCGACGAGTTGATTTTTGACAAATAAAATATGAAAAAAATAAAATAGGCAATAAACAAGAAAAAAAATCAAATAAGCACTGAAAAAGACAACACTAGAATTTATGTGGTTCGTTATAGATATTACTACATGCACAAAATGAATAAGATCAATATTTTTCTACTGAAATCAAAGAAAAACAACTCACAAATAAAAGTAGTTGAAGGATTTCTAACTTTATCTTTTCAACTTGTGGAACCACATGTTTATACTAATTTATATGGCATTCCTTCACTTACAGTCCTTACCTTGCGAGACCTTCCGTAAAAGATAGGAAAAACAATCCTTTGGGATTCAAGACAAATATCAACATTAAAGGGGAAAATTTTGTTGTGTTATGAATTTTATGTTGAGAATTTTGCTTGAATATCTCATATGAATATTATAATTATGAAAATTCTTCCTATATATATCACTCATGTAACCCTTTTGGCATATTTTCCACTTTCTCCAATTTTGCCCTTACTGCAGATATAAAAAATATGGAGTCACAAAGCCGTTATTCAGAGTTGGCTTTAAATGTTTGAAAGGACAATATCACCATCATCATAGAATTTTCAAACCGATTATATATGTCTTTTAAATTATTTATATTATTCCGACCAGGAATTGGCTTGGCGTATGGCAACTTCCAATCTAACTTGGTGCTTTTCAATCCAGATTTGCAGATTTTGAAACATTGGAATCAAGCGATGTGATTATAGGAATAGGGGACTAATTTTCTATTCAATAAAAAGAGGGGAAAAATTTATATAGAGCCTAGGCTCTAAACAATCAAATTAGAGCCTACCTCAAACTTTCACTAGAAGAGGTTGTTTTGATGCCCAAATATAATCAAATTGATCATCTTTACATTAAATGTATAGACATGAGAAAAAAATAGATTTCAAATTTTGGAAATAGTGCATCTTGTAACGCATTTTTTGACCATCAATTTTAAAGATTTTCAAGTTTTCATAGATATGCTCGATAAACACTGTTTTTAAAGCTTTAAATTTTATAACTAAATATACAAATATAATTTAAGGCTATCATAAAACTTTTCAGTATGAAACCATATTTCTCGACATTATTTGAAGGTGGGCCCTAATTTGATTGCCACAACCATAAAAGATTGGGGCTACATAAGATCCAATCATATTTGAATATCCGATCCTGATTCACAGTGGCAAGTCTTTGAATCTTGCCAGTGGTTAGACGAATAAATCATATAGACCAGCCAATGACCTGTATTTGGGTAATTTCTTTGATTCATCTTTTTTTTCTAAATTTATTAAAAATATACCAAGCTTTCCAACTTTAACATTTTACTCATTTTCAACCTAGTTCTATAGAGCAGTAGTGAGACCAGTTTTGCTTTATGAGGTAAAATGTTGAGCGGACAAAAAACAATATATCTATAAAATGAGTCTAGCGAAAAATGAGGATGTTGAGATGGATGAGTGGCAAGACAAGAAGAGATAAGATTCGAAATGAATTTATTCTGGAGAATTTTGGTGTGACACCAGCAGACGATAAGATGAGAGAGAGTAGACTTAGGTGGGCTGGCCATGTGTGGCGCCGACCAAATATAGTACATGTTCGGAGGTGCGAGTTAGTTCAAGTAGAAGAACTGAAAAGAGCAAGAGGTAGGCTCAAAAAGACGTAGTTAGAAATAGTCCAAAAAGATATGAGGACTTATGGCCTCACTGATAGTATGAGCTTTAATAAAGTAGAATGACATACCACGATTTGTGTAGCTAACTCCAATTAATTCAAAAAAGGCTATGATGATGATGACGACGACTCATTTTAACGTATTCCAATTTATGATGACATATTTTCAAGGGTATTTTGAAATAAAATAAAAAGATGTGAGTAAAATATTTGATAGTTAATTTTTTTATGTGTATTTTGATAAATTTCCATTCTTCTTTTGGTTTTGCATCCAGTCTTAGAAACCTTTCTCATTTCTTTGTCGCACTAGAGAGAATGGATTTTGGCATCGGGAAGAGGCAATTTTAGGAACATTATGTTGGGAAACCTTTTTCATTTCTTTGTCCCGCTAGAGAGAATGGATTTTGGCATTGAGAAGAAGCAATTTTAGGAACATTATCTTGGGAAGAGGGAGAGAGAGAGAATAGATTTTTGGTGTTGGGAAGATGGAGAGGGAAAGAGAGAGAGATAGTGGATTTAAGAAATGAAAAGGGATAGAGAGAAAGAATAGAGGAAGGCAGCTAGAGAATGGATTTAGGAACCTTCGATTGGCTTTGGAAAGAAGGAGAGAGAGAGAGATTTGACTTTAAGAACATTAGATTGTGGGAAGAGGGAGAGAAAATGAATGAAGAGAGAGGGCAATTATAAATAAAAAAAGACACATGGCGCAAAAATAGCAATAGTGCTTTCTATCGCTTAATACATAGTATATTATTGGGAAAATAATTAGTCTAAGATAGCCTTTGCAACGCACATTGCGTCATGTAGAGGAAAAAAGTGAAAATGATTGAGAATCTTGATAATTGGGCTTAGATCGTCTTTGCAATGCACATTGGGTCGCATTTGGTTTGCGTGAAATAATTTTCTTATAGTAAATTTATTTTTTAAGAAATAGATTTCTATGATTTTGGTTTCTCATGCTCTTTTTTCTCATGTTTGGAAACACAATTAGACTTTATATGAAATTATTTTCTTTCATTTGATAACGTGTTTGGAAATCAACCATCTTAGAATTAACCTATTTTTAACATTTATTTCTAATTATAAATATTATTAAGAAGGCCCTAATACCTATCCAATGAATAGGATATTTTGGAATCGTACCCCTATTGGTTTGAAGTTAATTTCTTAGATTTTGGGGTGGTTTCATTGAAGTTAATTTCTTAGGTAAAATGATTTCTAACATTTATTATGAACCAAACATGGGAAATTAATCCCAATTTATAAGAAATTAATTTCTATGAAATTGTTTCCACTCTAACCAAAGTGACCTAAGTGGTTTTTTAAAAAAAGACTCAATTTTCATGAATTTGAGAGGTTTATCATATTGGAAAAATATATAATGAGACCATTTACCTTTGGAATAAGGTGGTCACAATTAATCTTAACCATTGGATGTGAAATTGGGTGTCTGCATTTGTTTCATTGACTAAGCTCAAAGATCAAAAGAAATTTTCTTAAACTTTATGACACACACATACTATTAGATTTCCCATCATATAGTGATAAGTAATTGTGACATTCCCGTGCCAAAGGTAAATGATTTGTATTCAATCCTTGTAATATTTGGATTCGGAGGGGTTGGTGTCTAGTTTTTAGCCTTTAGTTTTGTGTACAATGTGGTTTTTTATGCCTACTAGGTATGAGGATGTCTAGGATTATTAATTTATGATATTTAGGTGGGTTGGAAGCTAGGTTTTAGGTGTGCGATGGGTATATGAAGATGACAAGGTTTGAACCCTGGTTTAGGGTTACAGGTACC